TGCTCCGTGTGATATTTTGAAATTTTTTGAATTGCAAATTTCCAATTTTCAGTGGTCTATTGTCAAAAATTTCCGTAGTCCAATTTTCCGTTGTTCGATTTCCGTAGCCCAATTTCCGTTGCCCAAGTTCCGTAGCCCAATTTCCGTAGCCCAATTTTCCATTTTTAAATTTTCCGTAGTCGAATTTTCGGTAGCTAATTTTTCCGTTGGCCAATATCCGTAGTCCAATTTTAAGGTTTTCGATTTTCCATAGTCCTAATTTCTGTATTCCAATTATCCGCTCTAAATTTTCCGTGTGACATTGTACAATTTTTGAATTGCAAATTTCCTATTTTCAATTTTCAATTGTCAAATATTTCCGTAGTTCAATTTTCCGTTGTTCAATTTTCCACAGTCCAATTTTCCATAGTCCAATTTTCCATAGTCCAAATTACCGTAGTCAAATTTTCTGTAGTATACTTTTCCGTTGTACAATTTTCAATTGTCCAAATCTTTATGTGACTGTTCAGTTTTCAGTGGTGAAATTTTCCGTAGTCCAACTTTCTGTTGTTACAATTTTCAGGTATCGAATTTCCGTTGCCCAATGCACCGAATTTCCCGAAGCCCAATTTCCGTAGCCTTAATTTCCGTAGTCCAATTTACCATTGTCCAATTTTCCATAGTCCTAATTTCCATAGTCCAATTTTTGGCTGTCAATTTTCCGTGTGACATTTTGAAATTTTTTGAATTGCAAATTTCCAATTGTCAGTGGTCCATTGTCAAAAATTTCCGTAGTCCAATTTTCCGTTGTTCAATTTTCTGTTGTTCAATTTTCCGTTATCCAATTTTCCATAATCAAATTTTTCGTAGTCAATTTTTCCGTAACCAAATTTCCGTAGCCCAATTTCTGTAGTCCAATTTTCCGTAGTCCAATTTTCCATAGTTCAATTTTCCGTAGTCAAATTTTCGGTAGCTCATTTTTTCGTTGTCCAATATCTGTAGTCCAATTTTCAGTTTTTCGATTTTCCATAGTCCTAATTTCCGTATTCCAACTATCCGCTCTAAATTTTCCGTGTGACATTGCATAATTTTTGAATTGCAAATTTCCAATTTTCAATTTTCTAATGTCAAAAATTTCCGCAGTTCAATTTTCCGTTGTTCAATTTTCCATAGTCCAAATTACCGTAGTCAAATTTTCTGTAGTATACTTTTCCGTTGTACAATTTTCAATTGTCCAAATCTTTATGTGACTGTTCAGTTTTCAGTGGTGAAATTTTCCGTAGTCCAACTTTCTGTTGTTACAATTTTCAGGTATTGAATTTCCGTTGCCCAATGCACCGAATTTCCCGAAGCCCAATTTCCGTAGCCTTAATTTCCGTAGTCCAATTTACCATTGTCCAATTTTCCATAGTCCTAATTTCCATAGTCCAATTTTTGGCTGTCAATTTTCCGTGTGACATTTTGAAATTTTTTGAATTGCAAATTTCGAATTGTCAGTGGTCCCTTGTCAAAAATTTCCGTAGTCCAATTTTCCGTTGTTCAATTTTCTGTTGTTCAATTTTCCGTTATCCAATTTTCCATAGTCAAATTTTTCGTAGTCAATTTTTCCGTAACCAAATTTCCGTAGTCCATTTTTCCGTAGTCAAATTTTCCGTGGTCCAATTTTCCGTTGTCACAATTTTCAGATGTCCAATTTCCTTTGCCCTATTTTCCATAGTTCAATTTTCCATAGTTCAATTTTCCGTAGTCAAATTTTCGGTAGCTCATTTTTCCGTTGTCCAATTTTCAGTTTTCCGATTTTCCATAGTCCTAATTTCCGTATTCCAATTATCCGCTGTAAATTTTACGTGTGATATTGAACAATTTTTGAAATTTCCGATTTTCAATTTTCTGTTGTCAAACTTTTCCGGAGTTGAATTTTCCGTTGTTAAATTTTCCATTGTCCAATTTTCCATAGTCCAATTTTTCATAGTCCAATTTACCGTAGTCAAATTTTCTGTATTTTACTTTTCCGTTGTACAATTTTCAATTGTCCAAATCTTTATGTGACTGTTCAGTTTTCAGTGGTGAAATTTTCCGTAGTCCAACTTTCCGTTGCTACAATTTTCAGGTATCCAATTTCCGTTGCCCAATCCATCAAATTTTCCGAAGCCCAATTTCCGTAGTCTAAATTTCCGTAGTCCAATTTACTATTGTCCAATTTTCCATAGTCCTAATTTCCGTAGTCCAATTTTTGGCTGTCAATTTTCCGTGTGACATTTTGAATTTTTTTGAATTGCAAATTTCCAATTTTCAGTGGTCCAGTGTCAAAAATTTCCGTAGTACAATTTTCCGTTGTTCAATTTTCCACTATCCACTATCCGTAGTCAATTTTTCCGTAGTCAATTTTTCCGTAGCCCAATTTCCGTAGCCCAATTTCCGCAGCCCAATTTCCGTAGCCCAATTTCCGTAGCCCAATTTCCGTAGCCCAATTTCCGTAGCCCAATTTCCGTAGCCCAATTTCCGTAGCCCAATTTCCGTAGCCCAATTTCCGTAGCCCAATTTCCGTAGTCCAATTTTCCGTTGTCTCAATTTTCCGATGTCCAATTTCCGTTGCCCAATCTTCCATAGTTCAATTTTCCGTTGTCAAATTTTCGGTAGCTCATTTTACCGTTGTACAATTTTCAGTTGGCCAAATCTTAACTTTTCAAGTTTTCTGGATCGCGACTGTTCAATTTTCAGTGGTGCAATTTACTGTTCAATTTCCGTTTTCATATTTTTCGTTGTTCAATTTTCCGTAGTTCAATTTACCGATGTACAATTTTCAGATGTCTAAGTCTTCACTTTTATGATTTGCAATTGATCAATTTTGAGGTATTCAGTTCCCATCTTTTCATGTTTCAATTGCTCAATGATCAATTTACCAAATTTAAATAGTTCACGTATGCTTTTCAAACAATTTATAAGTTTAATATGTTCATGTGTCATATTTAAAAGTGATACTTTTTTTAGTTTCTTCGGTGCCAAAATTTCTAACTATGTATATATTATTAGTGCTCCAATTTTCAATTAACTTGCTTTCTTTTGCCCAACTTGCAATGTTGCAATTTTAACTTGCATCAATTTTGAGATGTTCAATTTTCAACAATCCGATTCCCAATTTTCATCTGTCCAAAACTAAATTTCCTGATTGTTTTAACTGTCCTAGACTTCAATTGAAGCTTGTCCGCTTTTTCATTTACTGACTTTTAGGGTAGAGAACTACTTCGGCCTAATCGCCCATTTTGGGCCTATCGAGCAGAAAACATCAAATAAATCCATGATTTCAGAGTTAACAAGTCAATAATGCATTTGGTACGATACTTTAGTTAGTAAGCTACCGAACGAAGTCAATGAGAACGCGTGATATGAACGTTTGCACCCATTATTGCCAAAAACAAAAGAAGCGCTCCGACCGACTCAATTTTCATCTTCATCCGATAGGCCGAAGTGAATTCATTCGCGTTTCAATGGCGTTTCAATGCATTAGGCCGAGTTTAGAATCCGTAGGCCGAGTTTGGCGTCAAGAAGCAGTGTTAGACTTTTGACAATATCTCAACGGTTGGTTTCTTTTTATCAAATCTTACGGTACGTACGGAAAGGTACATAAATTTGGAAGCCATCAGTAATAATAACATTCCGATTGATGCTAAACAGCGCTAGATTGAGAAATACTAAGTGCGGGTTGTGCTTAATAGGCCGGAAATGGGGTAGTTAACCCTATCTGTTCAAATTTGAATTTTATAATCATTAGGTCTCCGACTCTTGAATCAACTATTTTTCATCTGTCCAATTTTTAATGTTTAGATTATTATTTTCATTTGATGCTCTGATGTATTGATTTTCAGATTTCTATTTCATCATATTAAATTCCAAATGCTTCTTAAGTTTATTGGTTCAGAAATGGAGTCCAGCAAAACACATAATGTTCACTTGTAGTCGTCTTTGCTTTCCAAGAAAACATTGAAACTATCGTTTCTTGCAGCGAACAGCACCCAAGAGATGCATCAACTGTGCTTATGTGATCTACAGTGGTTCGTGACAAGCATATTATAGGAACTTCAACCCATTTAACTACGTGGACAACCATCTTCCCACTCCTGTCCGGGAGAAACTGCTACATTGCATCACACCGTGTACCGTGTCTTTCTTTCTACCGAGGAGGAAAACTTTTCCGACATAAAATATGCATCTGAACTTACTGCGAACTTGTTTAGGACGAACTCGGGGCGCGTTTCTGCACCGTTCAATATCCAATTACTCGTGCAAATTCTCTTATGAAACACTGCCTGCAAACATTTATCAGTTCTTCGTACACCGCATTTCCATACTTTTACCATCATTATCGATCTCGCTCAGAGGGCACATTGCATCTGCACATGTCACTCGGTTCTTTGCCGAAATGGATTAAAATCCCTTGGAGCACACTGTCCTTTCAACTTGCGTTCACTTGTTCACAACGTTGCCTAATTTTGCTAGAGTTGGGGTCTGACAGGACAGATAGTCTCTCCACGAGGGGATGATGCTCCTCTCAACGGATTTTTCATTTGCACAAACCACAGAGCTCAAGGTTTTCTGCTCCACCTAAAGCTCCGCATCCCAATTCGCTGTCCCCCCATGCTGCTGGCACCAGGTTGGTTACAGGAGCTTGCAGTCTGAAGGTGGAATGACACAGGGTTGCAAAATTTCAGAGTGCGTCAAGGATGTAACCCCGGAAAATTGTAATTCATATCGGGGAGGGTCATTTCACCCGGAGGGTCGTTATATCGAAAATCTTTATTGACGGAATTGGATGATTGTTGAATGCTTTTGAATGATTTTAAAATAGCTAATTGGAGAAATTGCAGTGATATTCATTTTATACTAGACGTGCAATCGGGTATTAGTCTTTCGATGAAATGACCCACCTATCTGACGTCTACGGAATGATTCAAATGTTTTACATTTTTTTTTTCGTGAAATACGATTGTATGGCAAATTTAACATGAAATAATATTGCTAACCAGTGTAAAGTTGCTGTTTGATGTGCCTTCAACCCCAACACTGCTGCTTCTGCTGTCCGGAACCAGCTGGCGTTTACATCACTTCTTTCTTACTCACTCCCTCACATGTCGTCCCATTTGCTCACTATAGATACCAACACTACTCTCCTTCCTACGCGTTTTTTTTGTTTTGGTCCGAAAAACACTCCAGTCTCTTTAATAAAGTTAAAAAACAACTCCCAACAACGCTACTCCTCGCAGCTCCACTTTGTTTTTCCCTGGATTTAAAGCTTCAATCGTCCACAGAACCCAATTCAGCAGGAAATGAAATCACATTTTCACAATTACCACTGTTCTCGCTCGAACGAAGGTACGACTCAAACTGAACTCGACCCATGATGGGTGCTGTTGTTTTGATCAACCAACAACCGGAGGAGGCGTACTTCCGAATGCATAGATTTAGGCTCTCTCTTGCGGTCAGTTGAGAGCTGAGACTCTCGCCGCTCGATGATGGAACTTGCGTGCAAGATGAGAGGGCTTGTGGACTGACAAAGGAGAGGAATCAATGGACCGTATGTGGTAAGAGAGAGAGAGAATGAGAAATTGAAAACGCGAGGAGTGTGTTGCTATATTATGGGCCATTGAGTACAACGGAGTGTGATGCAACACATTAAAAATAAATTCTAGTAAACCAATCATACGTAACTTTTTAAGACGATTTATTGAGGGAAATAACTTAAAATTTAGAAGTATTTCACTCATTTTGATAAGAGCCGAAGTTGTTTATCACTGAGTAATTATTTTGTTGGTCCATTCGTGCCGTGGGATGAGACTTGAACTTCAGACCTCCAACGTGAGAGGTATGGATACTAACCCTACGCCATACCAAACACATTCCCAAAACTGAATAAACGCTACTCCGATTCCGACAATTGAGTACTCAATTAGTCAAATTCTACTCAATTTTGCGTTGAACTCAATAAATATTAGAATAAATTCTACGTTGACAAATTTTTTATCAAATCCTTCTAATTTCCTGTTAAGTTAACACATTGTCAGCAACCGAGAATCCACAGTCAGTCCATTCACCCTATTTATGAACCGTATAGACATAAAGGAAAGCTTATGGTGGGTGAGAGCAGAATTACCTGCTACGGTTGGTTCCAAGCTTGTCACTCGCAGAATTATTGTGAATGAGAAGGAAGGGTGAGTGTTTTGTTTTGGATGGGTAGTTCATCGCTTACTCAGCTGGAAGAATGTTGTTCTGTATAGCAAAGGAGTTGAAACAGTTGGTGCCATTTTGAACGGGAGCCTTCTAGGGGAGGACTAATGTGGAGAAGAAACTAAATCTTGATTACTTTTTCAAAGGGACGTTTCTGCTTTTCTAAACAAAGATTCAAACGTGTATTTGTCGGAACTCTAAGCAAATAAACAACACCATTTTGTTGTTGGGAAACATTACCCTTTCTGATGGTGGCGTTAGTTTGCGTGGGAGTGCTAAGAATTTGGACAAATTGATTGAATCTTTGTTTACCAAAGCAAATAAGTCTCTTTGAAAAAGTAATCGAGACTCACATTGTGGAGTTGAATGCAAACCAGACCACGGAACCCATTGGATTTGAGTTCGAATAGAGAATAGAGAATAGAGAGTTCTGGGAACTTCTTGAATTTCAGCATACCGTATAAATCGTGTAAAACATAGATTCTGGTACGATTCAGCGCAGTGCAATACATTTCAAAAGATACTTTTGTAGCTCTGATAGCTCTTGAGACTGCACAGAATTTTGGTAGCCTGAAAAATTTAAAGGACACTTTTCGATCTTTCCTACAGGGAAAACGTACAAGGAACCGATTCCGGATGATTTCCCTTTGGGTAGACCACGATTAAGCCACATTGCGGTGCAATCACTGAACTGAAGTTTTCTCAACTTTCCTGAGGATCTCTGAAGATTGTCAAACTTATCTAAAATGCTTTGTATTTCCCTGATGTTTACTGGTCTTTTCTGAAGATCTCTGAATTTGATTTTTTCTGAAGCTCTCAGAGTATTCCTGATCCTCTTTTACCCAAGCTACCGTTCAATAAAGACGCTTTAACTTTGCTCTGCCTATTTTATGAGGTTATGGGCCCAGCACAGTAGAAGGAAAATTTGAAAAGCTTCGTTTCGTTTGTTCGCGGAAATGGGTGAAGAAAAGTTGTGGCTGTTTGATGGAACCAACTTCGGAAACTGGAAGTTCCGAGCTGAGGTTCTAATGGAGGACAAATATTTGTTGGACTGTCTGGAGAATGCCATCGAAGACGAGGAGTACGCGAGAGAGCTCCCAGCGGACACAGCGGCAGTCAAGGCGGAGAAGAAGAAGAAACTCGAAGAACGCATCGCCAGAGACCGGAAGTGCAAAAATTTGCTCATCAACCGAATAGCAGAGGACCAACTGGACTACGTGAAGGACAAACGGACGGCGAAGTAAGCTTGGGACGCTTTGAAGAACGCGTTCGAGCGGGTTGGGATCGCTGGGAAGCTGTACTTGAAGAAGCAGTTCCAGGAGATGCGTCTAAGAGAAGGCGAAAACGTGAAGGCATTCCTGCTGCAGTTTGAGAAAGTGCTGCGTGAGATGAAGGCTGCCGGGGTGAAAACGGAGGACGAGAATGTCGTTTGCTAGCTTTTGTTAGCGCTACCAATGATGCGTTAATCACGGCTTTGTAAACTATCCAACCTGACCAGTTGACCCTGGAGTACGTCAAGAAGCGGAGTCTGCAAAACGTGTGAATCAAACGAGCCACGCGGAGGAAAATTCTGGTGAGTCGGCTTTCGCTGGGAAGAAGGCTGGTTTCAAGTGCTTCGAGTGTGGTCGTTTCAGGCACAAACATGTGGATTGTCCCGAATTCCGTAATTCAGCGGCGAAGGAACGCGAAGGAATCCCAAACCAAACGGGAGAGCCAAACGCAAGCAGAAGGGAAATGCAAATGTCAGTTGCGAAAATGAGGTGTCGTTCATAGGTGCTACGGGCAACGGTGACTTTTCGACGCCTACCGTGATGCCCAATATGCGAGTAGAATGGTTTCTGGTGCAACAGACCATTTGCTGACACCTACATGATGAAGAAGATGGCTTTATCACAGAGCCCCGTCTCGGAACGAGTGTACTGTTGAATGAAATGGTCTACGATTCAAGATTGGTTTCTGTAATGATAAGTATCACGATCTTCATCAAAATGTTAGTATTATTGACAATATACACAACTCGTATATACATTGAAATTCATAAATAAAAGGGAAGGGACGGTCCAACAGGGCACCCGATTGAAGCGATAACATTTCGTGGATAAAGGGCGGGCTCTTCTCCTCACTCATTGGGGCATCTTCCTGTTTGGGGGCTTGTCTTTTTGACCAATTGACTGATCAAGTTGCTGGAAGGAGATTCTCTTGTTCCGTAGATGCGTATAGACGACTTTGCCTATCGATCTACCCAATCCGTTTTTGGCCCTTCATACAGCGACATGTTGAGGACAATCAGAGGTTATTAAGCTTGATCAAGACAAACAGAGAAGAGAGCCCACTGCTGTCGGACTTAGCTTCCGTGCTACAATGGGTGGTAAACCACTATCATGTTATCATGCAATCAAGTTCTCAGAGTATTCCTGAAGATTGCTGAGCAAATTTCAGGAAAGTTCAAAGATTTTCAAAGAAGATCGGAAAACTTCTGAAAAAATCTTAGAACTTCAGAGAAGATCATAATATTTTGGAAATGCTCTAATAACTTCAGAGAAAATCAGGAAACTTCAGGAAAATTTTGAGAACTAAAATATGACCAGCAAATTTTACGAAAATTTAAAGAATTTAAGAAAAGATCAACAAGCTTTACGAAAATTCTGTAAGCTTCAGAGAAAATCAGCGCTCTTCTGAAATTTTCTGAGAACTTTAGAGAAGATCAAGAATCCTCAGAGAAAATTAGCAAACTTTACGAAAATTTCTGAGAACTTAAGAACGATACTTTCTAATCTTCAGGAAAATGCTGAGAGCTTAAGAGAAGATTAGAAAATTTCACGAAAATGCTAAGAACTTTAGAGAAGGTCAACAAACTTCATTATAATTCTGAGAATTTCAGAAAACTTCAGGAATATTTTGAGAACTTTTGAGATAAGCAGAGATCTTCAGAGCAAATTAGAAAACTGCAAGAAAATTTTGAGAACTTTACAGAAGATCAGAAAACATCAGGAATCTTCAGATAAGTTCAGAAATCAGGAAACTTCTGGAGAGAAAATCAGCGAACTTCATGAATATTCTGAGAACTTTTGAAAAGATCAGCAAAATTCTAAAACAAATCTGAGAACTTCAAAAAATACCTACAATCTTCCGGAAAATTCTAGGAACTACGGACAAAAAGCAGATAACATCTGACATTTTTTGAGAACTTAAGAGAAGATCTTGAAAATTACGAGAACCTTATAGAATATCACGAGAACCTTATAGAATATCATAAAACATCAAGAATATTCTAAGAAGAAAACTAGCAACATCCAGGAAAAAGCTGAGAGCCGAAGTGAAGATTACTAAATTTCACGAAAATTCTAATAACTGCACAGAAGAAGATCAAAAGGCTTAGGAAAAATTCTAAGAACTTCAGAGAAAATCAGAGAACTTCAGAAATGTTCACAGAACTTTTTTAGAGAAGACCAGGAGTCTTCAAAGAAAATAAACAAACTACAGGAAAATTCTGACAGCTTCAGAGAATATCAACAAACTTCAGGAATATTTTGATATCTTCAAAGATAATCAGAGAACTTCTGGAAAATGCTGAGAGCTTACGAGAAGATCAGAAAGTTTCACAAAAATTCTAACAACATCGGAGAAGATCAACAAACTTCAGGAGAATTCTCAGAAGCGATCATCAGAAATTTTTTGAGATCTTAAGAGAAGACCGAGAATCTGCAGAAAATCAAGCTTTAGGATACACTCTGAGAACTTTATTCAAGTTTAAAAAATTAAATTAAGAAAACTTAAGAAATATTCTGTTAGCTTCAGAAAAAGTCAACAAACTTTTGGAAAATTCTAAGAACTTAAAATAAGATTAGTAAATTTCACGAAAATTCAAAGAATCTCAAAGAAGATCAACAAACTTCACAAAAATCCTAGATATTCAGAGAAAATCAGCAAATTTCAGGAAAAGTCTAAGAACTTAAGAGTAGATCAGCAAATTGCATGAAAAGTCCTATAGCTTCAGAGAGGATCAGCAAACTTCACAAACGTTCGGAGATCTCCGAAGAAAATTAGCGAATTTCATGAAAATTCTGAGAACTTTAGAGAAGATCAACAAATTTTTCGAAAATTCTAAGAGCTTCAGAGAAGACCAACAAACATCAGGAAAA